GGCAACGCCAGAGGGGACCACCGCTGTCAGCCCATGGGGATGGAAGGGTTCTCCTTCATCATTTGCGTGTGGAGAGTGACCTTCAGCATGGATTGGAGCCGTAAGACTAGGAGTGATGGGTTCCAAATACAACAGGGGAGTTTGGGTTGGAGGTAAGGGGAAGTTGTTCACTATGAGGGTGGTGGGACACTGGGATGGGTTGGGTGGAGAAGGATGGATGGGGCTTGGAGCAACCTGGTCTAATGGAAGGCATCCGTGACCCTTGCTTAGAACTGGATGCTTTAAGCTCCTTCACAACCTAACTCATTCCATGAATTCATGCTCACGACATGGTTTAGTGGTGGAATCTCAGTGCTCTTAAAGCTCCATCCTCTATGGTTCCTGTGCAGGGATGATGGACAAGGAGCTGGATGCGCTTCCAAAGCTGGGATAAAGGGGGATGCAGAGCAAGGCCCTGCAGATGGCAGAGAAGAAGAAAGACCCAGTGGCACATCCCTACCTGGCAGGTGTCGATGCCACCCTGGGGGTACCCAGCACAGAGGTTGTGGCTCTTGATGGCCCCTCGGTACCACAGGCTGCTGTTGCAGAGCTGGACATCGATGAGGCGGACCTTGGCCTCCTGCAGGGCTGATGGGGACGATGCCCCCGCTGTGGGGACACAAAGGGGGTCAGGACTGGGGGTAGAAGGGATGGATTTGGGGGCATTTGGGGCTGAGAAGCTCCATGGGAGCCATAAACACCTCCCCCATGGCCTGGGCTGCATCCCCTTTGCTGATGCTGCATCCTCAACATAAGGAGGACATGGAGGGACCTTCAGCGATAGGGCAAGGGGTGAGGGGTTCCAACTGAACCAGGGATGCTCAGGTTGAAGAGAAGGAAGTGGTGGGAGACTGGGATGGGTTGGATGGAGAAGGTTGGGATGCTCCACCCCAGTCAGAGCAACCTCCAGTAGACCTGGATGAGCTTTACCCTCCCTTTCATCCCATTCCATGAATCCGTGACCCAGCAATCCAAGGCCAACGGGGCCGTCGGGCACTCACTTCTGGCTTCCCTCGCACCCCATCCGCTGATGAAGCACTCAGAGAGCTGGGATACCCTGAGTGTCGCATCGGGCAGGCAGACGAGCTGCACGTGGTACCCGCACTGCACCGGCTGGTCCAGCTCCACCAAGGCGATGTCGAAGCCGTCGGAGGCCTTGGTGTAATACTCATGGACCACGACCTTCCGCATCCAACGTTTCTGGGTCTCTGAATTGGCCCAAGCCAGGTCCGTGATTCCAACCATCACGTACCAATCCGTGGTGAAGCTGGGAGGGAGTGGAAGAGCAGGGATTCGAGCCATAGGACAAGGGGTGATGGGATCCGACGGAATTGCAGGTTGGAGACAAGGAAGGGATTCCCTATGAGGGTGCTGGGGCACTGGGATGGGATGGATGGAGAAGGTTTGGATGTTCCATCCCTGACAGCACTCAAGGCCAGCTTGGAGCAAGCTGCTCTATGGAAGGCATCTCTGCCCATGGCAAGGGCTTGGAACTGGATGATCCCAAGCTCCTTTGCCACCCAACCCATTCCATGATCCATCCCATTCCATCCCGTTCCATTCCATCCCCTCCTATTCCATTCTAATCCATTCTATGGAGAAGAGGGGTTGGAAGGAGCCACATTGCTTCTGCTTCCCAAAGGAAAGCGCTGCCCCAGCAAGCCTTAGGCTCAAGGGGTGTCAAGCTGGAAGCAGCCTTCTCCTGAGCACTCTTCCCAGAGCATCCAGGATGGGGAAGGAGACGGGATGGGAGCTGCTCCTTGCCTATTCCCTATGGCTGGAATCCCTTCTCCCCCTTACTTTTGCCCGATGAAGCAGTGAGCGGCCGTGAGGACCCATTGGGGGGTGATGAGGGAGCCCCCGCAGATGTGCGAGAAGCCGGTGGCCGTGGGGAACTGGATGCTGACCATCCATGGCCAGGCGCCCTGGTGCGCATCCATGCCTCCGACAATGCGTGACATCCCATAGTAATCAGCCATGGGACGGGTACCGCAGGTCCCTCTGGAAGCAGAAGCCCAACACCTGATGGTTAGGAATGAAGAGCGAGCATCGTCCCACCCCATTGGGCGATGCAGGGACAAGGGACCCTATGGGGTGTCCCAAAGATGAGCATCATCCAACCCCCTAGGGTGCTGAGGGACAAGGGACCCTATGGGGTGCCCCATAGCTAGGCTGTGCCACCGCATGAGGTGATGGCGAAGAAGCGGGGTTCTCCCAGTCCCACCACCCCACTGGTGTGACCATGGTTGGAAGCAAGCAGCAGCACCTCTCTATGGAATACCCGGAGCCTGGTGCCACTCACCCACAGCTGTCCCAGGAGCCGTGCACGAGCCAGGGCAATGACAGCACGATGAGGACATGGAGCAAAGCCATTGCTGCCATCAGCGCTGAGGGTGACACACAGGAGCTGCCACCACCACTGAGGGTGACACCAAGATGCTGCCACCAAGGAGCTGCAACCAAGGAGCTGCTGCCACCAAGGAGCTGCTACCACCACTGTGCCCAAAGCGCAACTGCCCTAGGGTGCTGGATGCAGGTCCCTTGGTGCTGGGGCTGATGTCATAGAGAGGAAGGTTCCATGGGGGGGGGGGCATGGGGGGTTCCATGGGGTGTTCCATGGGGAGATGGGGGGGGTCTGATGGGCTTGGGATGACTTGAATCCCTATGGGATGCTCTGGAACTCTGTGGGATGAAGAAAATGGAAGCAAATGGGGGGCACCCAAAGATGGATGGGGGGCACCCAAAGATGGGTGGAGGCACCCCAAAGGGCAATGGAAGCAGATGGGGGGCACCCAAATGTGGATGGGGGTACTCCAAAGGGCAGTGGAAGCAGATAGGAGGCACCCAAAGGCTCAAACAGGCACATGGGAGCCCCCCAATAGGACCAGGAAGGTGCCCAAGGGACCACAAGGATGTGGGATGCAGGGAGCAGATGCAGCATCCCCATGGAGCAAGGTCCCTGGTGAGGATTTATCCCACATTGATCCCAAAACTGCTGCTTTTTGCTCCTCAAAAGCACCCAAAATCCAGGGAATTGGGGGGGGAAGAAGAGCTTGGAAAGGGATTGGTGCAGAACGAATGGGGTTTGTGTGGTGTTCCTGGAAGTGGGCATGGTTGGATGGAGCTTGGAGCATTCTGCTCCATGGAAATTGTCCTTGCCCATGGCAGGGGTTGGAGCTGGATGAGCTTTAAGGTGCCTTTAACCCAACCCATCCCATGATTCCATGACTCCATGACTCCATGATGCCACATCTCTGTGCTGCAGTGTGGATGTTCCCTGATGTAGGGATCTTAGGAAGGAGCTGGTGGCACAAGGGAGCTCCAGAGCATCCTGCAAGCAGAGCACCCCATAGGGATTCACAGCATTCCATAGGGATTCAGAGCATCTCACAAGCAGGGCAGATGGGAACGATGCCCCCGCTGTGGGGACACAAAGGGGGTCAGGACTGGGGGGAGATGGGATGGATTTGGGGCTGAGAAGCTCAATGGGAGCCATAAACACCCCCCATGGCCTGGGCTGCATCCTCTTTGCTAATGCTGCATCCTCAACATAAGGAGGACATGGAGGGACCTTCAGCGATGGGACAAGGGGTGAGGGGTTCCAAGTGAACCAGGGATGCTCAGGTTGGAAAGAAGCGGCTAGTACTTTATACTGACTCATGGAGGGTGGCAAATGCCCTATTGTGGTGGTTGCAGCAATGGAAGCAGAGCAACTGGCAACGCAGAGGCAAACCCACCTGGGCTGCTGCACTGTGGCAAGATATCACTGCCCCGATGCAGAGCCTGGTGGTGAAGGTATACAATGTAGTTGCCCATGCACCCAAGAGTCAGGCCACTGAGGAACACCAGAACTACCAACAAGTGCATAAAGCTGCTGAGATTGAAGTGGCTCAGATGGACTTAGATTGGCAACATAAAGGGGAATTATTTTTGGCCGGTGGGCCCATGACACTTCAGGCCATCAGGGCAGAGATGCAACAAAGAGATGGGCTCGTGATTGAGGGGTGGACTTAACAATGGACACTATTGCCCAGGTTATTCATGGGTGTGAAACATGTGCTGCAATTAAACAAGCCAAACGGTTAAAGCCTCTTTGGTATGGAGGACGATGGCTGAAGGATAAATATGGGGAGGCCTGGCAGATTGATTATATCACACTGCCTCCAACCCGCCGAGGCAAGAGCCTTGAGCTTACCATGGTGGGAGCAACCACCCCATGGCTGGAAACGTACGCTGTGCCCCACGCCACTGCCCGGAACACTGTCCTGGGCCTTGAGATACAGATCCTGTGGGGACACGGCACCCCAGGGAGAGCTGAGTCAGACAATGGGACTCATTTCTGAATAACCTTACAGACACTTGGGTCAAAGAGCACGGCATTGAGTGGGTATATCACATCCCCTGCTGTGCACCAGCCTCTGGGAAAATCGAAAGGTACAAGGGGCTGTTAGAAACTACACTGAGAGCAATGGGTGGGGTAACCTTCAAGCATTGCGATACTCACTTACCACAGGCCACCTGGTTGCTCAACACCAGAGGATCTGCCACCAGGGCTGGCGCAGCCCAGTCAGAACTTTTACATATTGTAGAGGGGGACACAGTTCCTGTGGTGCACGTAAAGAGTTTGCTGGGGAAGACAGTCTGGGTTATTCCTGCTTCAGGTAAAGGCAAACCCACTCGTGGGACTGCTTTTGCTCCGGGAGCGGGATATACTTGGTGGGTAATGCGGGAGATGGGAAGTCTGATGTATACCTCAAGGGGATCTGATTTTAGGGGAAAACAGCCAATGAACTCAAGGGTACGCTGTTGCCTGCTATGTAATACTTCTATAGCCCACCAACTAGATGTCTGCAGGACAGCAGCGACTGGCCCTGACTTCCCTCTGACCATCATCCCAACCAAGAATGAACTTTGATAGAACCAGACGAGTTCTGGGGTAAAGATCTCACCCCATGTGTCCTGACTAGACCTGTAGTGCTGCTCTGCGCCTCTCTCTGCACGAGGCTACGGAGCTTTCTGTTCAGTTCCTCAGCTCTGGGGAGCAGATCCGGTGCACAGCGGCGGGATCCAGGAAAGCCTCTGAGGCCCAGAGGCTCCCAAGATTGATGTCCAGCAAAAGCCTCCTCCAGGATCACAAGCAGCAGCGCCGGGCAGCCAGGCTGTTACCAGCAGTGCTTCCATCTGATCAGGAAAGACCTGTGTGCAAAGCACGGTGTCTGACACTGAGGGTCTTTCCTTGGTGGCTGTGAAATACACACTCAGCGGGGGAAGAGCTCTGGTGGGGCAGGGCAAGAACACTGCAGGACAGAGGAGTTTCAGTCCTACTGAAGGGCAGCCCTCTCCCAGGGCTTTGCTAGAGCAGCTCGGCTGCAGCCCTGCTCTTGGTGGTCCCTGCACCTCCTGGTCTCTGGCAGTGTGCCCTGCCATGGCTGCACAGCTCTGCTGGGGAGGGTGGAGAGGAGAGGATGGAAGAGGAGGAGGAAGCACAGTGCTGGGCACCCAGGGCAACAGAGCTGCCAGGGCAGCACCCAGGGGTTTGTAGAGCCAGGGCCCTGTACCTGGAGGCCAGCTGTGTCAGAGGTGCACCGAGCAGTGCCCCAGGGACAATGAAACCCTAGGCAGGAAGCGTGCCTGGGCAGAGGGAAGCCATGGGGGGCAGCTTTTCGGTTGGGTAGCTTGGCTCTGCCAAAGCTGTGCTCGGGTTCTGGAGGCTTTTGTTCAACACTTGCTGGTTAGAACGGCAGCGGGGAGCTGAGGGGACATGGGGACACGTCTGAAAGTCCTCCCCAGACATGGGGGGGGCATAATGCCTGCCACTGGGGGCCTGAGAGAGGGCTGTGCAGGAGGAGGGAAGGAAGCCCGAAACTGCTGGCTCTTGGGCACCCACACCCTGCCCAGGCTCTGTGCGCTGGTGGCAGCGATGCTTCCCGAGCCCAGGCAGGTTGAACAGCACCACCTGACATAGGGGCAGTCTGTTAATCCCCTGTGCACCATTTGTTCCCAAAAAGCCCTGATCCTCTGGGGCTCTGACTTGGCCTATATAGAAGATACTCTAATGGCATGGCTTCCTTGAGGACAGTGTCCAGACAGAGCTCTCCCCTTCTGCAAACTGCAGAGAAACAGCATCACACCAGTGCTACAAGTCCTTGGGACAGCCAGAACTGATTAAATCGACTGCAGGTGGGGAAAGTCACAGAGAAAGAGAAAACCTTCCTGGGCCAGGATTGCAACTGCACAAGTCACAGCTTCCTCTCCCCTGTGAGAGGAGCAGCTTCATTTCATTTTCTTTTTTCCTCTCTGAAAGGACACAAAAGTTGTTCCAGCTGCTGTGTCTGGAACTGAGGTACCAAGAGACACCTTCCAAGGAAAGGCCCTGTGTTGAAGCACCCTCAGGAAGGATGAAGTGTGTGTGAAGCGGGGGCTGTAGGGTAGGATGATGCTTCATCCTCAGCTGGAAACTTGGACAACAAGGCCAGACGCTTTCTGGGATGTTCAAGTGTTTAATAACAGAGAGAGGAAGGTTTCTGGGTGAAAAATGGAGCCTCCTGGTCCCGCAGGGTCAGCGAGTGGCCCTGCTGCTGGCCCGGCTCCTTTGGCCACTGCTGGTGTCACCTTGGATCATCAGTGGCGGGGCCGCTTCTTGGGGGGTGCAGCGGAGTCTTCAGAGCTGCTGCTCTTCCGCTTGGAGCCGGCCCTGCCCCAGCGGGGAGCAGAGGCCCCGGGCACAGCCTGCCCTGGCTCCTGCTGCGCCTCTTCCTGCTCCGCTGGGATGGGAGCGGGGACGCAGGCAGGACCCCCCTGCACGGCAGCGGTCGAGGTGCTCGGGAGCGCGTCTGCGTCCGCTGCAGCAGCGCTGCCGGAGGGGGCTGCTCTGGGCACAGGGGTCCCCAGCGTGCAGGCAGCGGGGCTGGGGCTGGGCTCGGGGCGGTCAGAGCGGGTCACGCTGGTGGTGACGGTCCACTCACCTCTGTGCTGGCTGCCGGAGGAGGTGATCCTCACCACGAGCTTGCCCTTGCGTCGCTCATGGCACGCCCTCCAGCTGGTGCTGGCCACAGGGCTGCCCTCCTGCCACCAGCTGAACTCAGACCAGCACTCGCTGGCTCTGGGGCTCTTCCCCAAGCTGCTGGCAGCACAGGAGTCCTCGCGGATCATGAGTTTCAGCACTTCTTCCGCGCACTCCTCTGTGGCCTCCAGGAGCCTTCGCACGAACCTCGACGTGTGGCTCCGCAGGTCGGGGCGCAGCACCGCATCCAGGAAACCTTCATCCAGGCCGTAGGCGGGCAGCGTGTCCAGGATCATGCGTGTCATCAGGTATGCCTTCAAGCTGCGCCCGCCAAAGAACCGCTTCATCTCCTGAAAGACCCAGGCCTGCAGCAAGAGCAGCAGCTGAGGGTACTTGTGGAAAAGGAACACCCAGGCAGAGGCTGGGAAGCCCCCCACACACTGTGCATCCATAGCACAGGGTTGGTGCACCCCGGGTGCTGCTGGCACCGGCAGTCCAGAAAGACCTTCCTCTGGGGCACTGAGTGATGCTGCTGCACGTGCTCCTCTGAGAGCTCCTCAGAGCCGTCTCCCACAGCAACTGCCCTATGGGAGTACCTGGGTGGAATATGAGCAGGGCGAGCAGCAAGGTCACAATGGGGGGGACTCACAGGGCGTGGCTGGGGTCGTCACAGGGCGTGTCTGGGGGCTGTCGCCATGGGCTCTCTATTGTATTTGCCACTGCTTCATCCTCAGCTGGAAGCTTGGACAGCAGCGCCAGATGCTTTCTGGGATGTTCAAGTGTTTAATAACAGAGAGAGGAAGGTTTCTGGGTGATAAATGGAGCCTCCTGGTCCCGCAGGGTCAGCGAGTGGCCCTGCTGCTGGCCCGGCTCCTTTGGCCACTGCTGGTGTTGCCTTCAAGCATTACTGGTGGTGTGATGTCTTTGCGGGTGCAGGGGAGTTCTTGGAGCTGCTGGTCTTCCTCTTGTGAGGGCACTGGGTTTGGTGTATTCAACCCAGCAGACCATTTAACTTCTTGGTAGCAAGGCATATTGCCATCTTCCTTTCAATTTTGTGTCCGCCAGGACCCTCACATCCTATTCTGCAAAGCTGCTTTCCAGTTATTCCCCAACATTTCCTGGTTCATGGAGCTTTTCATTCCCAGGTACAGCTCCTTGCACTTGCTCTTGTTAAACCTTTGCAGTTCTTGTCAGCCTATTTCTCCAGCCTGTCGAGAAGGAGATGTAAGAGAAGGGAAGCAGGAGTATTAACAAAGAAGCAGGAGTTACCCATTTCTTTTGTCTCCACTTTGCTCTTTAGAGTCGAGGTAAAAACTGTCTTTGCTGGAAAGACGGAGAGAGCAGCCTGCGTGCTGGTGAGCGGCCCAGAGGCTCCAGCTCTGGTGATGGATGATGCATGCTGGTGGAGCCCGAGGGCAGGCTAACCCGGGTGTAAGCACTGTCAGGGGCAATTATAGCTTGAAGGATGGAGTAAAATGTGCGTGGCTTCCAGTCGACTGTTCCATCGTCCCTCAGGTCAAGCACCTCTTATCTCAGAAGGGAGTTATGAGTGGTGACGGATGCAGGAGCCAGCCCTTGGCATGTGCGTTGAACACTATTTTGGGAATCTTATTGCAGCCCTTGAGCTCACCTGCAGCTGCACACTCTGTGCCCCTTGGGTTGCTCCCAGGAGAGGAGCCCTGAGCCTAAGGAGAGAGAATTCAGCGTTAACAGTCCTAAATGGAGAGGGTAATGCCACACCAGGAGGTGTGAATCTCTTCCGTCAACAGCTCTCACCTTCATAAAGCACCCCAGGGTTATGTGCAGCTGCCCCACGTGTGCCTCCAGCATCCTCCCTGGCTCTGGGACATTACTGAATTAAAGGCGACAGTGCCATTGCCATTCTGCTCTCATGCTTCCTCCCACCGCATCCCCACAGTTCATGAATCCCCATGCACAGGGGAGAGTCAGGAACGGGGCTTTTTTCTCATGGCAGCTTAGATATTTGCTTTTCCTGTGGGGAAAAAAATAAAAATACTCCTTGAAATAACGTTCTGAGGCTCTTCTAAATGTTACACAGTGGGCGACCTTTCAGAGCCGGGCTTAGGGGTTTATCGTCAATCCCTAGGCCAGGACTCCCACAGCTGCAGGCCAGTCCTGCTCCCCAAGGGCTGGATCCAAAAAGCACTGAAACATCAGTCTTCAGCTCTGCAACAGTCAGGGATGGAGCTCCAGGATTTCCACCCTTGCTGCAATGAGACACCCTCGGCTGTGTATCCTGTAGGTGCTGCCCTGTGCACCATGAGGTGGTGTAAGGAGCGTGGGTACCACGAGGATTTGGCTTCTCAGAGCATAAACGCAGGCACTAAGGGTGTCAGGGAAGCACCGGCCATGCCATACATCCCACTGGGATGCAGGGGATGATGTGGATTTGCACAGAGTCACAGCAGTCCTGGCTCTGCAGAGCCCAGCTGGTGCCATGGATGCAGACATCCTGGACATTCCTGACCAGCACAGGGTTCTGAGGAAGGCAGAGGTTATGGCTAGGGGATACAAAGAGGAATGGTTCATACAGACAAGGCTTTTCTGTTGGGAGGCGACAGAGGCACAAGGCACTTGCCCTGTTTTCCAGCTCTGCTCCCACTACAGATGGCTACGAGGAACAGGATTCCCAGTGTCAGGCAATAGTTACAGTGGCAGCTATAAAGCCTGTGTGATGAGATTGCCTTTCCTTCCATGGCTCTGTCTATAATGAAGCTGGGAATGGGGTTTTCTAAATGCAGTGCCCCAGCTTGGGAACTTCTGGAGTGATTGCCAGCTGTAGTTGCCAAGAATTCCATGACATTTCCACACTCCCTGGCATCCTTCCCCCAGCCAGCAGCAGCACACTTAGGAGCCTCTGTTTATGAATCCAGACCTATACTGGGCACTTGTTAATTTTGATAAAGCTGGATTCCAGTCCCTTTCAAAGCAGGACAATACGTTAACATCCATTGAAGGGGGACACCATGACACCCGCTCTGACACTCCAATGGGTTTTTCCCTGATACAAAATACCTCCTGGAAAAAATCCTGCCTTTGTGGCATGTCATCCCTGGGGTTTTTACTGGAGTTCAGGAGACAGTGAAAGCAAATAACACAACCAGAGGCTCCAAGGCAGTGCTGAGCAAGCTGGAAGGCCTGCACATACCTGGGGCTGGGCTGATGTTTGAGGTGGTTACTTCAGCCCTCTCACTATGGGGAAACTTTCTCTCCCCATTTCCCTCTACAAACCCCAAATGGAAAAATGTCTGGCTTCAGCTAGGCAGAATGTGCGATTCCAGCTCTCCATGGAGATGCACTGGCTCTGCTGCCCCCAAACCATCAGAAATGGTTCCAAGGGAAGGCCCTGTGCTGAAGCACCCTCAGGAAGGATGAAGTGTGTGTGAAGGGGGGGCTGTAGGGTAGGATGTTTGCATCCCACCTTCTCAAACCTATTTCTCCTCCTATTTCTGCTGACCAGAGCGCTTCCCTCTTTCCCAACCAGGTGCTCTCAGAAATAGCAGAGCCTTTGCCATGCTCTGCCCCAGTTTGGCACAGGGCTAGCCCACAGGACACACGCATCCCCTCTTTGGTGTACAACAGCAGCTGCCCCAGGCTCAGTGCTCACAAGGAGGTGAAGGCGGTAGAAGGCTCTCACGGCCCTGGAGATGTCTTTTTTTTTTCCCCAGGACTTAGTGCCTGGGCTCTCCTTCAGAGATGGGTCATGTTAGCACCGAGCTGAGCACACAGGAGAGGCTGGGAGTGCAGCAGTTAACACAAACCTGGCCCTGGCTGTTCACTGTCATCTGATCTCGGAGGTGCCCCCAGAGCATCCCCAGGGGCTCCCTGCTTCCTGGCCCTGGGCTGGGCTGGAGACTCCCCACGGCAAACAGCGACTCAATACAAACCCCAGTGTGCCCATGTGACAGCCACCAGAAGGGCTCCGGCTCTCAAACTCAGGTCCTGCACTTGGAAGCCAAAACATGAATCAGGTCTCAAGCTCCATCAGCTCAGCTTGGTTATCAGATGGGTCATTGCTCCTCCTTGAGCTTTGGCTCTGAAAGGAAGCTTCTTGACCCTAGGAAGCATGGCACAGCTGGTGGAAACACCAAGCAGTGCAGCGCACCCACTTACACGTTGGTGTCACTGAACTAACCGAGCGGATGAGCTCTGTTTCATTTCTCACATCACAAGATGAGGCCCTGGATCTGGAAGGAGAGGTAGGTGAGGATGTGGTGCAAGGCCCGCCTACAAGGCCACATAGGAAAAAGCGGTTGACTTCGCACCTCAAGACTGCCTCTGGTAAGAAAGAAAGAAGGGTCATTGTAGTGGGTGATTCCATTCTGAAAGGAACAGAGGGCCCGATATGCAGAGTTGACCCTCATCATAGGGAAGTGTGTAGTCTGCCTGGAGCCCGGATCAGGGATATCACCAGGGTGCTCCCCAACCTGGTGCGCCCGACAGACTACTACCCGCTGCTGGTCTTCCAGACGGGTGAAGGGGAAGTTGCTACCCGCAGTCTGAGGGAGATGAAGAAAGACTACAGGGCCTTGGGGCGGATGGTGAAAGACTCTGGGGCTCAGGTGATCTTCTCTTCGCTCCTTCCATCTTCTGTTGATGATGTGGGACTGAATGGGAAAATGCAGTCCATAAACGATTGGCTTCGAGGCTGGTGCTGCAGGCAGGGCTTTGGATTCTTTGATAACGGCTGGTTTTATAGGGCACCGGCCTGGACGTTGGCATGTGGGAAAGGTTTATCACACAGAGGTAAAAGGATGCTGGGGCACGAATTAGCAGGGCTCATTTGGAGAGCTTTAAACTAGATTTGAAGGGGGATGGGGTTGTAGCTGGGCTTGCCTCAGTGGGACAGAGCTCCAGAATTGATGAAGACTGGGAGGCCTCCTGTAATCCTAGGGTGAAATCGGTGTGACTCTGCTGGACCTGCAGAGCTAGCTTCTCCACTGGTCCTCTCCAGGAGCAGGAAGTGCAGGGCAGCAGGAGGCTGGGACCATCCCCAGGCTGGCATTGATGTGTTCTCTGCCCTTCTTCTGCCCACAGCATGAGCTCACCATCTCTGAGGCTTGTGGAGCGGAGCAGCCCTTGGGCATTGCTTTGGCCAGTAAGACCTTGGAGGTAAGAGCAGAGTCCAGCGGGCCCAGGCTGCTGGCAGTGGGCTGGGGTTGAGGGGATGCTCAGAAGGACCGGTTGTAGGGAACAGGGACCTGGTGCCAGCACCAGGACAGCCCCCCAGGGCTGGTGCAGTGAGACACGGGGTGTTCAGGAGTGCTCCGTTGGGACCCTTTGCACTGCAGGACCCATCAATGTCCTCCATTAGCTCCCTGAGCAGGTCCTTTGCCCCAGCAGAGCTCCTGTCCTGCCAGGGAGTGACCAGGTCCCAGCATCCCCAGCTCTACCTCTCCCATCCAGGTGGCCCAGGAGAAGCTCCGGGCTGAAGTCTATGACAGGGTGAACAAATGCAACATGCTGCTGTACCAGATGGAGCAGCGGAGCCGGGCCAAGGAGCAGCTGCAGAGGCGGCTGCAGCAGCTGCAGGATGTCCGGGTGGCTGACAAGCAGCACCAGGTACAGGTCCCAGAGCCCCTTCCTAGGGTGGCAGCACCCATGGGGGGTTTCAGCCAGCCCTGCCCCCCTGGGTGGGCACTGCTCTCAGTCCATGGGCTCACCCCTTGTCTCCAACCATCTCTGCCCCAGGTGATTCGTGCACTGCAGAACAGCATAGACAAGATGCACACAAAAATCCACGCTGGGCAGAAGGTGACTGCCCTGTACGTGGTGGTACGGGATGCCCTGAGGAAGGTGAGCTCATCCTCACCGTGCCGTTGTCTCACCCACTCCCCCTGCAAAGGCACTGAAGTGCCCAAGGCGCTGTGCTGGTGGGACACCCTCCTGCAGGAGGTCCTCCTGCTCCCCTCCATCTTCTGTCCCAGCACAGGGCACCCCTGGGACTCAGTGGGCTGTGGCTCCCTGTGTCCCAGGAGCTGGCCCACCTGCCTCTGCACCTGGACCTCCTGAGTGAGATGGCCGAGCTGCAGCATGGGGAGGTGGAAGACATGGAGCTCATGGCCTTGGATGGGCTCCGAGCTGCTCGTGTAGCCAAGGTGAGATGGTCCAGGGCACCTCAGGGTGCTTTCCTGCTCTCCAGAGCACACAGATGGCACCAGATGTCCGTGCTGCTGAGTCTTCCTTCAAGAAAAAGCAGGACTGAGCTTGGCTTCCCCGCAGCACCCAGATGCCTCCATAGCTCCTCCTGTGTCTGGCTCTTGGGCCTGGCTGCCCTGAGTTGGGGACAGCTGCCGGAAGCCGTGGCCATGGGGAAGGTGGCATTCTCCATTCTCTAGCTGTCCTTGCTCGGTTTCCTTCCCAGGCTGTTTACACGGGGTAGGGGGTGGCATTTTTGATGCTGGCCATGCCAGGCTTAGAAGCTCACAGAGCTCCATTGGAGCTTTGGGAGCCACTTCTCTTCTGCTCTGCTCTGCTCCAGGAGCACATGGCCAGGACAAAAACCCAGTTCCTTGCAGAGAGAGAGCTCAGGCTCCGCACCCTGGCTGCTCAGAAGGAGCCCATGGACAGAAGCTGGCGCAAGGAAGCAGAAGAAAGGCTTCTGAAAGGGGTGAGCTGGGGGGGCCTGGCACAGGCAGGGCTGCAGGCATAGGGCGGGCATCAGTGCCCAGCCTGCCATGGGTGAGGGGCTGCAGGGCCGGCTCCCCCAGGGTGCCAGCAGCTCAGGGGTGACGATGAACATCCTTGCAGCAAGCCAGGCGTGACCTCACCAGGGACTTCCTGGGCCTGCCCGCAGAGGACCCACCGGTGGGTGAGTGCCTGTCAGGGTGCAGGGGGGGATGCAGGCGCAGCCGCAGGCATCCTTCCCTGCCACAACCTTTCCACCGCAGCCGCCGAGCCGGAGGCCCCCAAGTCCCAGCTGGAGCGTGAGGCCTGCGTGATGGAGAAGCTGGAGAAGGCCAAGGCTGCGGTGCAGTGCTCCCGCCTCTGGGTGAGTTGAAAACCCATCTCTGGTAGAACCTGGGGCTGCTCCAGCCCCAGGGAGCTGAGCCTCGTCTGCTCACCCTGTTCCATGGCAGGGTTCTCTGCTCTCCTCTGTCCCCAGAGCCCCCCAGGGCCCCTCTTGTACAGGCAGGGATGGAACTGCTTTGCTCCACGCCATGATCTTGCAGTGGTTCCTGTGGATCCTGGTGCAGAAACCTCCCCAGGACCACGGCCCAGGTCCTGTACCCTGCAGGAGTGCCCTGGGCTGAGTCCTTGTACTCTCCCCCGGCCAGGACATCCCCATCAGGATCCTGGCACAGCAGAAGTCCCTGGTGGAACTCAAGCAGTACCTCGCAGGGCGCAAGGAGGAGAAGCAGGAGCTGCAGAAGGCACTGAAGGAGCTGGAGATGCAGCTGGAGGAGCTCAAGTTTCGCCAGCCCCCAGCCACAACCAGGTGCTGCTGGCCTCCGGACAGTCGTGCCAAAGGGGCCATCACCCTTGGGGGCAGGGGGACATGTGCATGGCAGGGGTCCCAAGAGGGCACCCCTTCCTTGGTCACCCTGCAGCTGCCCACCCCTCCTGCACTGGGAGGGTTTCTGAGCAGAGTGCTGCCCCAGCTCTGGTGCTGGCAGAGCACGCAAAGCTCCTGCGCTGGCAGCAGGAGGAGCCTTGCTCCTTGCCTGGCATGGGAAGTGGGAGCAGCAGCAGCACGGGGTTGAGGTGCAGGCAGCATCTCTGCTCTGCGCTTGGGGCAGGGGAGAAGCTGGGCAGCAGCTTTTGCAAGGGGTTTGGGGTGTCTGCACCCCTGTGCAGTTGTATGGATGTGAGCGTGCTTGGCTCCAGGGGGCTGGAGGAGGAGCTGAGGAGGAGGCTGCAGTGGGAAGAGGCTCGGCTGGAGCAGAGGCGAGCCCAGCTGCTGAGGAGCCAGGAGACGCTGCTGGAGTTTGAGAACGGAGTTGACAACCTCTTCGTCCGCCTGCGGGGCATCCCCGTGCCTGGCCAGGTACCCGCACAATGCTGGGCTGAGCACAGCCCGGGCTCTGCTTGGTGGTGCAACGGCACCGTGGGGTGACCCTTGGTGCAGCAACCATCACCCCAAGGGCTTGTTCTGCTCACCAAGGCTGTTCCCTCTCTGGCTCCAGGAGCACTCTGGCAAGGCCATGGGAGTGGACGAGAAGCTCCAGCAGTGCGAGCAGAAGCTGCAGTACCTGGTGCAGCGGGTGGCTGACCTGCCCCCCTCCAGCCTCAGCGAGGATGATGAGGTGCGCGGGGGCTCCATCCCTGCTGCGGTCTTTGGGGACCCACACAGGCTTTCCCGGGTGGCCCATCCCAAGCCATCCTCCCAGCTGGAGGATGGAGGTGCTCGAGGGAAGAGCCACGGAGCAGCTCAGGCCCAGGTGGCCCTGGGCTCTGTGGGGTGTTCCCTCCCTCCCAGGGGCACATCGAGGTTGGGCACCCCTTTGGTTGTAACACCCGCCTCCCCTTCAGCTATGAACACAGCGTCTCTTTCCCAGACTTTTGTGAAGGTCCGACAGCTCCTGGAGAAAACCCTCCTGAGCGATCCACAGAACCAGAAGGTTCCCTTGGAGGACACGGGCATGGGGGACCCAGGTAGGAAAGGGGACACATCCCACAGCAACTGCCCCAGCCCCTGCCCCCTGGGATTTCTGGGTGTCCTTGCCCACCTCCCACTGTCCCAGCAGAGCCCAACCCAGGAGCTGCTCCAGGCGTTGGGGCTGACCTCGGCTGTCTCCAGGCCTTTGAGCATAGTGCTGGTTCGATGTGTGGATGTGGCAGACTGGAGGCAGATGGTGGGCTGGGGAGCGTAGAAGCACCGCAGGAGCAAGGAGGGATGCTGTGGAGCTAGCGGGGAGACCCTCGTCTTCCAAATCCCTTGGCTGGGAATATTCTTCACAGCCAGGGCTTGGCTCTGCCAGCGGCCTCCTCCTAGGGGAGCTTCTGGTACCTTACCACCTTTTCTTAACAAAGCAGGACCCAGGGCTTTATGGGGAGCCCCAGCAGGGTTGAGACAGGCCACAGCAGGTCCTGCAGGTCCCCCTGGGCTGCTGCTGTGGCACAGCCAATGGGCAGTGCCTGTCCTGAGGGCTCCCCACGGTGCCAGCAGCCCTCCCAAATGTGCCGGCTCCTCCTGGGGACACAGGCACAGCAGAGGCAGCCCCACAGACCCTCCCCAGCCCGCTCCTCTCCGCTCTCTCCTCCAGACTACTTTGATTTTGATGACGACCACAGTGGCCTTGTCCTCACCAGAGAAGCCATCAAGAGCCAAGGGCTGGAGCTGATTGAAAGGAAGAAGCAAAGCAAGAGGAAGTAGGGGTTGCTCCCCGAGAGCTGGGGATGCCTCAGACCATCTGCTGTACCCTTTTCCCCTTCGATGTAATAGAGCAGATGCTTTTCTTTCCTCCCAAGCCTGTGGTAGAGCTGAAACAGGGGCTCCCAGGTGCCTTGTCACCCAGAACACACGGGGCTCAACCTGACTGCTGCTGCTGCACCCGGCCCTGGGCGAGGCAGTGCTGGGGACGTGACGGGTGGCAAAGAGGTACAAGAGGCAGGCAGAGGAAACCAATGGCAGTACATTGGTTCCTGGGTTTAGAAAGCAACAATGAACCATGGGGTACCCCAGGAAAGCAGCGGCAGGGATCTTCCTGCCACAGTGACCCCTGAGCTCGATGGGGCATCCCTGCAGTGGGGCAGGGGAGCTGAATGGGACATGGCGGGGCACTGGCCCCACCGCACAGAGACCATGGGGCAGGAGAGCCATGTCGGGGAGTGCCAATCTGGGGCTCACCCCAAATTGTGGAAAAAGAGCTGGGGCTGCATGGGGCTCTCCAGCATAGAAAAGTATGGCTTGAACCTGCCCGAGGGGAGACTGAGCTGAGCTCTTAGGCAGAAGCTGTTCCCTGTGAGGGTGCTGAGGCGCTGGCACAGGGTGCCCAGAGAAGCTGTGGCTGCCCCATCCCTGGCAGTGCTCAAGGCCAGGTTGGACACAGGGGCTTGGAGCAAGCTGCGCCAGTGGAAGGGGTCCCTGCCTGGGGCAGGGGTTGGAGCTGGATGCGGGATGTCACAACAAGCACCCAGGATCACCCCAACACTGCCCTGGGCTAGGGCCAGCCCTACATGAGTGCTGGTGCCCTCCCAAACTGCCAGCCCCACTCCTGTGCACCCTCCCACTGCTGCTCGAGATCTGGGGGCAGCAGGATTTGGGGGTCCCAAGAAGAGCCATCAGGTACTGTGTCCTGTCCAGCTCAGTTCAACAGCACTGTGTGCAAGATTGTGGGGTGCAGGGAGTATGCAGGCCAGGATAACAGAGTGCAGGGAGGAATAATGGGGTGATACCCACTGCAAGGCAGCTCATGCACCCCGGTGCCACTGCCCAACCTCCCAGTGAAACCACACTGGGGTAACTGGGCATTGGTATTCAAAGGGCCTAGTGCCCGTGTGCACCCCAGCAGGGCTCGCCCCAGCGTGAGGTTGCAGGGGTGCCCAGGGCCAGCACGTGTAGGGCAATTCAATCCCCGGGTTGGGCTCTGCACCCCCATCCTCCAGCACCTTCCCCGATCCCCCCCTGCCAATTCCCATCACAGCCCAAACCCAGCGATACCCAGGGCCATGTGACCCTAAGGCAGTGTATGAAGGTGATGAACCAGCAGCAGGCAGGCGGGGAACCTCATCCTTTTGTGCCCCTTTCACCTGCAGAGCTGGGTCCCAAAAGGTCTCCCACCCCCAGCTGGGTACCCCAGTGGGTGCAGCATATGCCCCCTCCAGTACCCATTTTGAGCTCTTACCCGGGAAACAGGAGCCAGGAGCAAGAAGCCACATCACTGGCCACCGTCAGCCCTCATCCTTGCCTGCCTGCCTGCCTGCCTGGGGCCATAGGGTGCCCGGCACCCACATGGAAGCAATTTAAGGTGTCAGACAAGGTGGCTCAGCCATATTTATTGGGAATGGTTGTGGAGGGATAAAAATATTTCCACTAGCTCTATAAGAATTTATAAGCCTACACTCTGCTTGTCCTTTAATAAATGCCTCTATGACCATCATGCGAAGGTAGGTACTTGTGTAAGAAAACAGCAAGATTAAAAAAGGAAAGTGCTAATAGACCCTGTGGGGCCCTGCCCAAGGGGTCCCTGCCCAAGGAGGTCAAGGGACCCTCCAGTGGCACAGGGACATGGGTGGCGCATGCCGGATGCTGCCTCAGCACCCTGCAGCATCCAGTCTGAGCCTTGACCAGACACAGCCCCCCTCAGCCAAGCTGCCTGGGTGCAAACCCCACACCCTGGGGTGAACCCACCCAGGGCACCCCAGCAATCCCACTGCTCGCGGTTCTGCCTCTGCTCTGCAACCTCACCCCTTTCATCTTTCTCTGTGCCTGCGGGGGTGAGCAGAAGGCTGGCAGGGAGGGTTCAGGTCCATCTCCACAGTCACTGGCCAGGGCTCACACTGAGGCCCCAGAGCGGTGCTTTGCCAGAGAGCAGTGCAGATACAGACATCCTGGGGGGAACACAGGGACAAGACACAGGGCTCTGCAGGGCAGCACCACTGGTGAGGACATCCTGGGGGGACACGGGCACGCGACATTAGTACTCTGTGGGACAGCAACAGAGATGGGGACACCCTGTGGGGTGACACACTGCAGTGCTCTGCAGGGCAGCAACACAGATGGGGACACACAGCAGTGATTTCCTGGAAAGCAATGTAAATGGGGACATCCTTGGGGGACACAGTGATGCTCTGCCGGGAAGCAGCTGGGACAGGGCCATCCTAAGGCCACACAGGGACACCGCAGACAAAGAGGTGGCACCAGGGGCTGAAACACCCGTGAGGGACGATGCTGTTGCTGCAGGTCAGGAGGCACCACCAGGACAGTCTGGAATATAGTCATGGAGGGCTATGTCCTTTTCAGGAAAGACAGGCCAGCCAGGCGGGGTGGTGGGGTTGCTCTTTACGTGCGAGAGCAGCTACAATGCGTTGAGTTCTGTCCGGGGACAGATGATGAGCGAGTTGAGAGTCTGTGGGTGAGAATTAAGGGGCAGGCTGGCAGGGGCGATACTGTTGTGGGGGTCTGTTACAGGCCACCGGATCAGGGTGAGGAAGTTGACGAGGCCTTCTACAGGCAGCTGACAGCGGCCTCACGGTCACAGGCCGTGGTCGTCGTGGGGGATTTTAACTTCCCTGATGTTTGCTGGAAGGACTACTCGGCAACCCAGCCGCAGTACAGGAGGTTCCTCCAGTGTATGGATGATAACTTCCTCATGCAAATGGTGGATGAGCCAACCAGGAGAGGTGCGCTGCTGGATCTCATCCTCACTAACAAGGAGGGTCTGGTTGAAGGAGTGAAGGTTGAGGGCTGCCTTGGTTGCAGCGACCACGAGATGGTAGAATTCAGGATGTTGTGTGGTAGGGTCAGTAGAATAGCAAGTAGAATCGCAACCCTGGACTTTAGCAGGGCAAACTTTGGCCTCTTCAAGCGATTGCTAGGGGAAATCCAGTGGGCTAGGCTGCTTGAAGGGAAAGGGGCCCAAGATAGTTGGTTGACGTTCAAGGACTGCTTTTTCCGAGCTCAAGATCGGAGCATCCCGACACGTAGGTAGTCGAGGAAGAGGGTCAGGAGACCTCCGTGGTTAAATAGGGAATTGCTCGGTATGCTCAAGTGGAAGAGGAGAGTTTACAGGTCATGGAAAGAAGGGCTGGCCACTTGGGAAGAATGTAAGGCTTCTGTTAGAGGATGTAGGAAAGCTGCTAGGATGGCTAAGGCCTCCTTGGAATTAAAGCTGGCGAGAGGGGTCAAGGACAGCAGAAAGAGCTTTTTCAAATACATGGCAGGTAAAACTAACACCAGAGGCAATGTAGGCCCGCTGATGAACGGGACAGGTGCCCTGGTGACAGAAGATACAGAGATGGCAGAGTTACTGAATGACTTCTTTGTCTCTGTCTACTCTGCTGGAGGCAGTCCTGAAGAGCCCTGTACCGCTGAGACCCCGGATGAAGATAGGTCAACGGAGCGGTCTGCCTTAGTCGATGAGGAATGGGTTAAAGATCAGTTGAGCAATCTGGATATCCATAAATCCATGGGTACAGATGGGATGCACCCGCGGGTGCTGAGGGAACTGGCTGAGGTCATTGCTAGACCGCTCTCCATCATCTTTACCAAGTCTTGGGAAACGGGAGAGGTGCCTGAGGACTGGAGGAAAGCAAATGTCACTCCTGTCTTCAAAAAGGGCAAGAAGGAGGACCCGGGTAACTATAGACCGGTTAGCCTCACCTCCGTTCCTGGGAAAGTGATGGAACACCTTATCCTTGGTGCCATCTTAAGGCATATCAAGGATAAGAGGGTTATGAGGGACAGTCAACATGGCTTCACCAAGGGGAAGTCGTGCTTGACCAATCTTGTAGCCTTTTATGAGGAAATAATGCGGTGGATGGATGATGGTAGAGCGGTGGATGTGGTCTACCTCGACTTCAGCAAAGCGTTTGACACTGTCTCCCACAGCATCCTTGAGGCTAAATTGAGGAAGTGTGGTCTGGATGATCGGGTAGTGAGGTGGACTGTGAACTGGCTGAAGGAGAGAAGCCAGAGAGTTGTAGTCTGTGGGGCGGAGTCTAGTTGGAGGCCTGTATCTAGTGGAGTGCCTCAAGGGTCGGTACTGGGACCAGTATTATTTAATATATTCATCAACGATTTAGATGAGGGAATTGAGTGTACTATCAGCAAGTTTGCTGATGACACTAAGCTGGGAGGGGTGGCCGACACGCCGGAAGGCTGTGCTGCCATCCAGAGGGACATGGACAGGCTGGAGAGCTGGGCGGGGAATAACTTGATGAAATATAACAAGGGAAAGTGTAGAGTCCTGCATCTGGGCAGGAACAACCCCAGGTTCCAGTATAGGCTGGGGAACGACCTGTTAGAGAGCAGTGTAGGGGAGAGGGACCTGGGGGTCCTGGTGGACGACAGGGTGACCATGAGCCGACACTGTGCCCTTGTGGCCAAGAAGGCCAATGGCATCCTGGGGTGTATTAGAAGGGGGGTGGTTAGTAGGTCAAAAGAGGTCCTCCTTCCCCTCTACTCAGCCCTGGTGAGACCTCATCTGGAATATTGTGTCCAGTTCTGGGCCCCTCAGTTTAAAAAGGACAGGGACCTGCTGGAGAGAGTCCAGCGCAGGGCAACTAAGATGATTAAGGGAGTGGAGCATCTCCCTTATGAGGAAAGACTGGGGGAGCTGGGTCTCTATAGTTTGGAGAAGAGGAGATTGAGGGGTGACCTTATTAGTGTATATAAATATATAAAGGGGGAGTGTCACGAGGATGGAGCCAGGCTCTTCTC